GTCGGGTTGGGGAGCACGAGCACTGGCTCCTTCATCACCGCTGCTTTCAAGGCCTCGAATGCTTCTTGGCACCTTTCTGACCAATCCCACGCCTTGTTCTTCTTCAAGAGATCCGTCAAGGGTGCTGCAATGTTGGAGTAGCCCTTGATAAACCTCCGATAGTAGTTGGCAAGGCCGAGGAATGACCACAATTCTGGCACCTTCGTCGGCGGCTCCCATTCTTGGATTGCCTGCACCTTCACTCCATCCATCTTCAACTTGCCTCCACCAATGACGTGCCCCAAGAATGGAACCTCCATGGCGGCAAATGTGCACTTTTCCCTCTTGACGTACAACTCGTTGTCGTGAAGGACTTGGAAGACTTGGCATAGATGCTCGGCATGCTCATCGAGTGTTTTTCTATACACAACGATGTCATCCAAGTAGACCACGACGAACCGGTCCAAGAATGGCTCGAACACTTGATTCATCAAAGTGCAAAACGTGGCTGGTGCGTTGGTGAGACCGAATGGCATCACAAGAAACTCGTAAGAGCCATACCTCGTCACACAAGCTGTCTTTGGCTCGTCGCCCTCTGCTATCCGCACTTGATAGTAGCCCGAGCGAAGATCTAGCTTGGTGAACTACATCGCATCTCCAAGCTGGTCGAACAAGTCGGCAATGTTGGGAATCGGCCACTTGTTCTTCACCGTCAACTTGTTGATGGCTCTATAGTCTATGCACATCCGCAACGACCCTTCCTTCTTCTTTTGGAACAGCACCGGTGCTCCAAAAGGTGACTTCGATGGCCGCATGTAGCCTGCGTCCACCAAGTCCTTGAGTTGCCTCCGCAATTCTTCTAATTCCGGTGGCGACATGCGGTATGGTGCTCGCGAAGGGGGCTTCGCTCCTGGCTCCAACTCGATCTTGTGATCCACCTCTCTTCTTGGTGGTAGCTTCTTGGGCGACTTCGATGGCATCACGTCGTTGAACTCTTCGAGGACGCCTTCGATGATGGGAGTTGGGATTCCCGTTGAGCCTCCTTCTTCCTCCATTTTCAAGGACACAAGAAAGGTTGATTCATTCTTCTTGAACCCCTTCACCACTTGCATAGCGGATAGAGCACTATGGGGACCATCTTCTCTCAAGAGATGGACCGCATGAAATTCCACTTCCTTCTCCAAGCACATCGTGTTGGAGTTGGGCTTCAAGAGCACTCCCTCCTTGTCGAGGAAGTTGATGCCGAGGATGACTGGATGATCGTCCATGGTGACGACGGAAAAGTCGATGAGGCCTTCCCACTCGCCAAGCTTCATTGGTACGTTGTGAGCAACTCCATGGATCGGGATGGACTCCGAATTGATCGTCTTGAGCCTCCCTTGCCCCTTCTCGTAGGCAATACCCAGCCGGTTTGCCTCCTCGATGCGAAGGAAGTTGTCCGTGGCACTGGTATCCACCAAGGCTTTTGACTCGCCTTGCATGAATTGCGCCAGAACATAGCACGTCCCACGCTTGCTCTCCTTGACGTCGGTCCTCACCGCGCCAAGCTTGCGGATTGAGCCAATCTTGGCCTCCGCCGCCTTCGGCTCCTCATCTTGAGCTTCCATGGCCGCCAAACTCGCCTTCCTTGGGCAATCCTGCACTCGATGTGGTCCATCGCAAAGGAAAAAAGTCATGGGTTTTGGCTCGTACTTACCCCCTTTGCTCGAACCACCTTGGTGTTGTTGAGTGCGAGAACCCTCCTTGAAAGGCTTATGCTGTTCTCCACCCTTGTTGGGCTTCGAACTCTTCTCTTTGCCGCTGCTCTCTTGCCTTTTGTATTCGACAAAAGACACCGCCGTGGCCATGGCAGTTGCAAGGTCTTGCACTCCTCGACGTTGCATCTCCATCTTGGCCCATGGTTGTAGCCCATCAAGAAAGCCGTGCATGGCCTCCTTGTCCATGATGTCCGGGATCTCTAGAAGCAGCTCCGAGAATTCTTTCACATATTCTCGAACTCCACCCCTCTGGGTGAGTCTTCTCAACTTCGAACGGGCTTCAAACTCCACGTTCTCCGGGTAGAACTGCTTCTTGATTTCTCTCTTGAAATCTTTCCACGTTACCATCACACATGTACCTCTTTCGACGTCCGCTTCACGTCGCCTCCACCACACCATTGCAACATCAACCAAGTATAGTGGAGCGGTACAGATTTTTACCTCATCCTCTTGGATGCCGGACGCCTTGAAGTACTTCTCAAGACTCCAAAGGAAGTTCTCTAACTCCCTCGTGTTCCTTGAACCTCCGAAGCTCTTCGGTCTTGGAACATCAGCACGTGGGACGGATTGCACCGGGGCTGGTCCGCTAGCCATGGCTCTCTTCACGAGAGTGACCTCACTCTTGAGATCTGCAATCTCCTCCTTCACGCCGACCAGCTCAGCCTGGACGTGCTCTTTCACAACTTCAATGGCGTTGTTCAAGGATGTGTTGATGGTGTTGTTGATGAGGGCCACAAGCTCTTCTCGTATGCCATCATGACCAATCTCCAAGCTCGACAAACGAGCATTCATACCTTGAAAATCGCTTTCGACTTGGGCGAAGTTAGCTCCCAAGTCCTCGATGGCGGTGACATCTTCTGAAATCTTCACCTCCATCCTCGAGACTCGCCTCTCTAGAGACCTGAGAGGATCACGAGTGCTCGACTTGTCTTTTGGCCTCCCGCCTGGGGTAGGCTCTCTACCACGATGCTTATCACCGTCGTCATTGACTTCTGATCCCAACATTTCTGGTGAGGTTCTTCCTTTTCGTCTGGCTATTGCTTCTACTTTGCAAGCACAAAGTCGAACGGGGCTCTGATACCACTTGTCACGACCTTACTCTCGATCGTGCGGCCCTAGCTCTCAATTCCGTTAGAGCGCTAGTTAGCCTTTCTCTCAACTGACTTGCAAGCAAAGAATAAGAAAGCAAAGACAAAGATATGGGAGAACTCTCTAGTGTGTATTACTCTAAAAAATGGTGGAATGAGTACAAGTGAGGGAGATGGCTCCTTATATAGGCCTCTCCACATACAAGGCATCAATGCCCCCTCATAATGTCCCTCTACTACATCAATACACCCCATTAAGTCCCCCCATTATGCACTCTATAAATGTCACCCATTATGTGACTCATAAGTGCACTATTAAACTCTACATTAAGGTGGAGAATCCTAGGAGCATCTCTATGCTACTAGTCTTCCATGCATGACACATGTGCAGCCGCCATGTTGTCACCTTGTTGGCGCCATGTCATCTGCCACATGTGACACCACTCTCTGGTGGAAGACAGTGTTGTTTCAGTTCTGGTCAATCTGTTCTGCTTCAGAACCACGTCCACGACAGAAGTTCTATTAGATTGGTTGTCTTCTAAGTTTTGGGATTCAACCCTGATTTTGTTCCTTGGTTTCCATTGCTATTATTGCCTATTGATAATTATGACTTCCCTTTCATTGTAGCAGGGCATACAGCTAGCTGATACAGTGATAAGGTGTTGCAAGTGGAGCAGAAATACAACGATTTCTCTATCCAGTCTATGACAAGCAAAACGTTATCATCAAGTCCATTCACAACTTCTATTTGACAGCTGTGGGTATTTCTTGAAATCTCACCTACTTATCTATGTAAATGAATTTTAGCTAAAAATGTATTTAGAACTCGCTAATGGATGAGTGTTAGAAACAAATATATTGCAGCTTTTGGGTTAATTCGCTTTATTTGTCGGTTTTGTTAATTGGGGGATTATTTGGGAAATTTGGGCAATAAACTGGGAGTCGATTGTTATGTTTTATTTGTTGGGTAGGAGATAGGAATTATGCGGATTATATAATCTGCAGTAGGAGTTATTTTGGCATTAAGCAATAAAATATCAAAAACCTAAAATCTACTCTCTCTCTCTCCCTCTCTCTTCCTGCAACCCCCTTTCCCTCTTCCTCTCCCCAAAATCGGCAGCAGCCGAGCCCTCTCTTCCCCTCTCTTTGTCTCAATTCTCCAATTTCTAATCCCTAGCTCGGTCAATCCCTAATTGATCTAGCTAATTCCCAATTCCCAAACCCGTTAGAAACTAGGTTTCTAACATCTGGTATCAGAGCCTGGATCGAGAGTGAGTTCTTTTGAGCTCTTGAACCAGGGAAAGCGGCAATGGTATCGACGAAGTCAATGAAAGCGGCAGAGAAGGCGGCTTAGGCAGCCGAGAAAGGCACCGATGCGGGTGATGTAGGGCTCGACGGGGAGTTAGAGGATCTCACGGAGATCGAAGGGCTGAGGAAGGTCGTGGAGACGCAAGCAGAGAGGCAGGCAAGGGTCGAGGAGGAGCTGAACGGTTTGCAGGCGCAAGCCAGAGATCACGGCCGCACTCTCGACGCGTTGTTGGCGGCTGTGGAGGCGTTGCAGGGGCAGGTGAGCAGTCTGACGGAGGCTTGGAAGAGAGGCGGGGCAGCGGCTGGCGACGGCGGGAAGCCGCCGGAGGAGAGAGGCGCGGCGGAGGAGTCCGCCTCGGTGGCGGCGGTCGGCGGCCAGGGAGCCGAGAAGGGTTCGGCGGAAGGGGGGGCAGCGGCAAGCAACCCTAGCCGACCCCCTGTTTCGCGTCCGGGCCAAGTCTCGTTCGGCCCAACAATCAAGGATGGGCTTCTGCCTACTCCATCGGCCCAGGAGATGGCTCGTGCGCGTGGCAAGGCCAAGATGGCAGAGTATGTGGATCCGGGCCCGCACGCGGGCCTCAACTTGGAGGAGCTGGTGGATCCGGAGCAGGAGAGGGATCGCGAGCCTTGGCCCAACGAGCAGAGTGGGCTGGGCTCGGATGGCTGGAGGGAGGAGGGCAGCCTGATGGGCCGAGCCCGGTGAGAAGGCGGACCGGGAGGAGGCTGGAGGGATTCGGGCCGCGGGTGGTAGTCGGGCCGAAACCAACCGGGGCGGGGTGACTTTGGCCGAGCAGGGGCGGGCCGGGTCCCCCGAGGTCGAACCGAGACTGGTCGGACCGAACCCGTTCGAACCAAAACGGGACGGGCCATGGTTGAACCGGTCCAACCGGCGGGGTATCCGAACCAGACGGACAGCAGGGGCTGTCCGGGGCCGCAAGGCCAATTCGACGAGTATTTTGGGCCCCTTCTTTCTTCTGCACTTCAGCGGGGCGCCGGGAAGGAATCCAGGAGGACGTGGACGGGGGATCGCAGGCCGAGGAGTGAGTTAAGCGGGAGAGTAGGGTACCAGGAGGATGAGGGGGACGACTGGGGGTGTGAAGGGGATCTGCGGTTCACCCAGCACTACCACACTGGGGGCCCAAGCGGTGGAAGGAATACCGGTTATTTCAGGGGTGGGGAGGAAGAGGATGATATGGTGTTTCGAGCTCGGCCTCCCACCATTGAGTTTCCGAAATACAATGGTCGTGAGGATGCAGAACTGTGGCTGTACTCAACTGAACGATGGTTCAAGAACCACCCCACTAGGGAAGAACGAAAGGCTCAGCTAGCGTCCTTATACCTGGAGGGAGATGCCCTGCAGTGGTGGGAGTGGATGGAGCGGACCTATGCCGAAGTTCATACGCTAATCACTTGGCCGATGTTTAAGGAGGAGTTGCGGTATCAGTTCGGGAAATCTGAAGGGTGGGCCCCGGAGCAGCTGGCCAAGCTGTGCCAGACAGGGACGGTGGCGGACTATAGGGCCGAGTTCTTCAAGTTGGGTAATCAATGCAAGGGTGTCCCCGAAGAGACATTGGTGGGCCTGTGCATGGCGGGACTCCGTCCGGAGATTGCAGCTGTTGTCCGGGTATTTGAGCCAGATTCACTACGAGCTGTTTTTCATCTTGCATGTAATAATGAGGAGGAACTGGCTAGCTGGCGGGGTGTGATAGGCCGATATCAGAAGCCGAGCAGAGGTGGAAGTGGAAGCGGGCCGAGTAGCAGGCCGGGGGTCCCGGCGCCTGGCCCTAGCACGGGAGGGGGTGCACTGACTAGTACACCCACCGCGGCCATTCAGGCTGGACCGAGGGCACCGCCCAAGGGGTTTACTAGGCTATCCCCTGCCGAGATCGAGCAGAAGAGGCGGGAGGGAAAATGTTTTAACTGCGACGAGAGGTTCACCTTTGGTCACAAATGCGGGAAGTCTGATCTAATGTTCTTGGTGGGGCGCTGGGAAGATGAGGCCGAGGACGAAGCCCCAGAGGATTCGGGAGCAGGGCAAGAGAAGCTTCAACCTTGAGGACAAGGTTGCTTTCCAAGGAGGCAGGGATGTTAGAAACAAATAAATTGCAGCTTTTGGGTTAATTCACTTTATTTGTCGGTTTTGTTAATTGGGGGATTATTTGGGAAATTTGGACAATAAACTGGGAGTCGATTGTTATGTTTTATTTGTTGGGTAGGAGATAGGAATTATGCGGATTATATAATCTGCAGTAGGAGTTATTTTGGCATTAAGCAATTAAATATCAAAAACCTAAAATCTACTCTCTCTCCCTCTCTCTTCCTGCGCCCCCTTTCCCTCTTCCTCTCCCCAAAATTGGCAGCAGCCGAGCCCTCTCTTTCCCTCTCTTTGTCTCAATTCTCCAATTTTTAATCCCTAGCTCGGTTAATCCCTAATTGATCTAGCTAATTCCCAATTCCCAAACCCGTTAGAAACTAGGTTTCTAACAATGAGTCTTGGTAATGTGTAGTTTTTAAGCCATCCTACAATTGGGTAATCTGCTCAAAGATAAAGACCAGAAGGTGTGTTTCCTTGCTTGCTTGAACTGAATGCTCATTGTCTTTGCTTTTCCATGTATGGCTTTCTACTCTTCATTTTCTTTTTTTGATAGTGGGTTGGAGGTTGCAGGATTATCCAATCTGGCTTAGGAAGAGGGTTTAGTACCCTTAATTCTAAAAATTTATGAGGAGGTGTTCCTTGCCTCTTGACCGATTGTGCAGCTGGACATATCCCCTATCTAGGTACTTTGAGTTTTTCCTCTTCTCTGCATTCTTGTTTAATTCTGCAAGCTTGTCTTTCCATGGGGATACAATAATCAGCAGGGGTTTTCAGTTGCGGCATGCAACAGGGAGTTTTCAGTCTTCATGCTGCATTTGTTGCATCACTTTTGTGGGTTCTGCTCTTTTTTCAGCATTGCTGTTCTTTTTGTTTTTGGGGCAGGACAGAGTGTCCTAATAATGTGCTTATGGTTTATGCATGTTTGATTGATTCAGCTGGATTTGCTAGAGAGAACATTAATGTTTAGCTCACTTGAATCAAGTGGAAAAGATAGTACTCCTCTGACCAGAGATGCAGTATAGTTCGAGACACACAAGAGTGGTAGTGTAAAATAAAGGAACAAGCATCAAAGACATGTAGTATGTGGGTTTTTAATATTTTAAGCAACGTTGACCACCCGTAAGTAGCAACCATGATAAGACACACTACTGGAGCAAAGGCAAACCCTACACCCATGGTAGCAAAGCAAACAAAGTTGATCTCTGACGATTAGTCAACCAAATTAAGACTCTTTTCCTTGTAGTGGTTCACTTATTATTAGAGTTACAACATATATTATTTTTAATAAATTTATAGACATGCTTCGTCCTTCCTAAATTAAGTCAGACTAAAATGCTTTTCATCTATTTTCATACTCAATTATAGGGTTCTGCTGGTTCTGAATGCTACTGCAAAATTCTAGGGCTTCAACTATTCATCTGTCTTCCTCTTCTTCTTTTCTATACTAAATGATTTATTTGGTTCAAGTGATATAACTTGCTGAATGTTAAGAAAAGTTCGTATAGTTTACTGGTACATAAGATTATGGCACTTTTCAACTATATTTTGTTATTAGGATCAGGTGTAAGGTTTGCATTAAAATCTATTTTGTCTTTCTATAACTTCATTTGTTAGATTAAGCTTGGTAAAAACTTTTTGTATTCAACTGATTGGTTTTACAAGTTTTTTCCAAGTGACATTTGCTATCAACTATGATTGCAAGTTAGCTATAGTATTTGTGCAACTCCTCTTATTGTCGATATTAGCATGCATGAAATAACATGCTTTTACCTTGACAATTTGTAAGTTTTCAATGTATATTTCATGCATCCTGTAGTGATGGAGGTCAAATCTTACAATGCATATAACATTAGTCATTTATTATCATTGTTTATGGCAAATACGACAGTCAACAGTGCAGGTTGCTTGGGATGGAGTTCATGGCACAAAGATTGTTGGACGTAGGCTGAAACTTCAAATGTTAACTTTAGATAGACAATCTTCACGTTAGCTTATTGAGCAGTTAGCTAATTGTAACATTATAGAATTATTATTATTATGGACTACAAGATGTGATATTCTTTTAATTGTTAATAATATTCTTTTGCTTACATTTGTTGGCAGGATACTTTAATAATTTTAACATAAGCGATATCTAAAATTAGTAAAGAGAAAATTCATAATTAATCTTCTAATCGGTGTTGTAATTTGTCATAGTAATTTACCGTGACAAGTGATAGACATTTAGTCATTGGAAATGATTTTGTCACGATTAATACTGTATTAAATGAAGTATATCCAGTCTTTAAATGTTTTCTTTTCTCAGATAGGTGTTCCAAAATTTGACATTAGGCACAGTTTTTCCTGTGATTAATAGCATTAAATAATCATGGTAAAAAACATCGTGACTGCCTATAAATAGTCATAGTATACAATTACTCACAAAGCTTTATATTATGGTAAATTTTCCATGACTAAAATCAATAATCACGATAAACATGCTTTTGAACACGGTAAATCCCGTGATTAAAATAGCTTTTTCCTGTAGTGAGACACGTGTGAATCTTGCTAAGTGGCAGTAGTTTTCTCTAACAAACTCTAGAATCATAACGATTTTTTTCCTATTTTATTTCCCTAGTCACTATTTTGTCGGATATTGGTCGGTTGAAGGAATATTTTGATGAGGCCACTATTCAGGCCATCTTGACTATTCCTCAACCTCGCAGTACATGTAACGACATATGGGTTTGGCATTTCATTCAATCATAATATTCGCTTTAAAATAAGCATATCGGTTGGCTATAACAATTCAACCAAGGCGCTATCATCGATTTGAGGCAACGTACCCCTGTCGATGGCTCTCTTTGGCTTAACATTTGAGGCAACGAATCACTTGAACGTTTGTTCCTTCGTTTTCTTGGAATTCAATTACCGCATGCTTTTGGTCATAACACCACATTGCTTTGATATGGCGTAGTCTTTTTCTCCACTATGATGTTGAACTGCTGACCAAATGGGTGTTTAGAAAGGACAAAATAACATGGTCTTCCTCCCATATGCACAGTTAATGCTCTCTTGTATACATCGCTAGTACATGTCTCATCGTGCCGATCACCAGACCGCCTTCCTTTCCACCATTGATGTTGCACCATCAACTGCACCGGTAACCTCACCTCGTGTTGCGGTGGATGGTGCGACTCAAAGATCTAATCATGGGGTTGTCTGCATTTTGTGCTTTGATAATTCAGTTCCGTTGTTTGCATTCGAACGAACAGTGCCTGCGATTTCCAATCCTTATTTGGTTGAGCTATTGGTGATCGTGGAAATGTTATATCTTCTACAGACTACAACAATGGGGATGGACTGATCGGTCGATTCTGATCACTGGTGATGCACAACATGTCTTACAGTCAGTGGTGGAGGCAGGATTAGAAACTAACCCCTGTCCTCTTTTCATAATATAAATATATAAATATTTAATTAATAATTATTTAATAAACAAAATTAAAACTAATTATATCCAAATAATTCATTCACATATAAAAAATAATCGACTAATAAAATCACTGTTTTCATAAGCAACCACGACGGAATTTCATATTGTGAAAAAAACACAAAACATTTATTGTCTACAATGTTAAGTAAGTCTCTTTTAATGTATCGCACTAAACAATTATTAGCAAACTGGTCGCCAATTCGACTTCAAAACTTGTTCTTAATATAACTCAAAGCTGAAAATGTTCTTTCTGCACTTGTAGTTTCAAATTGGTAGAATCAAAACAAGTGGAATTGCCGTTGTTGTTGAAAAATTTCCGAATTGTTGGGGAAAAAACGAAGAGACATAAGTAGAAAAAAGATTTTATTAGGTCTTTATTGCAATTAAAAGTTCGTTTATAGTATAATAAATTAATTTTATATTCTTTAATGAACAACTAATAAGTTGTGTTATACTGATAAAATACTATAATATCACCTTTAATTGTTTGTTCCATCATCCATATAAATATATATGGGTATTTTTTTCCTCTCCGAAATTTGCCCCTAACCCGTGACAAGGGTTAATGCCCTTACCTCCGCCTATGCTTACAGTAGTTAGTAACAAGTGTGACTAGCGACGCTAGGGGTGGTGCAATTCTGTAGGTATACTTCTCTGATTCAATTACCTATGGTTCACTTCGCTTCCCCTCCGCGAGAAACAAATCTGGCTTCCCATTCTTTATCATCAATGTCCTTCGTTATCATGATCTTTCTAATGGTCTTTACCACTTCATGTACCTAGTTAGTCTTTGAGTCGGTGGAGGTGCAAATTATATGTGCTACCCCGCCTTTAACTGCCATGTCCACAAGGATAATAATGACAAAAAAATATTGCGGAAAATCATATGAAAATAAACAAATAATTATTGGGTTTTCATTGAATGATAAATAATTAAGTATAATAAAAGGATCTAATAAATAAAAGTTTGAACCAATTAGAATATGTTATATGCTCAACCGATTTGGGTTAAGTACATATTATTAATCAACGACAACCATTAAATGCAACAAATCCAACGGCCAAAAATTTACCGGTATTAGCGTCGTGCCATGGGAGCATATTCCTTGCACAACCTTGTTGTGCTTAACCATGCATAACTTACCATATCACCATTTATGAAAGATTTCTAACATTTTTCCCTATAAATTTTGACAAGTTTTCTCTCTTTTATTTTAATTCTTAATTAAATATTATTTATTTTTTTTAAAGATAAATCAAATTAATTTGCTCTTCAAAATGATATTCATTCTGATATATTGTGGAACAAAAAAATTGAGACATCTATTACCAGTCTATACCATGGCAGTAATGCTTGGTATTACATAAGATCATACCACATGGTATGGAAGTATATGATGGTGATATGAACTTATCATAGTGTAGAACGGTTGAATACATGATAGTAAGAATATACGAGCTGTCATTTACCACATTCATCATTGTT